TGACACAAGAATCTTGGTAAGTTACTATGTTGCCAGACTGAGCTCAAACCTGCAATCCTCCTGCCTTAGCTTCCCAGTGTGCTAGAAATGAGATTACAGGCAAGCACCACCAAGCATGCCTTCATTTCTTGATTAACATGGTAGTTATTACTAATGAGACAATGCTCCTCTAGCCTCCAACAATCCTCTAAGTTTAAGTATGCCAACAATTCAAAGCCCTGAGCAATCCTTAAACCTGTACCTGGTAACCCTGAAAGAAGAGATAGCATCTCCTCCTAAACAAACAGCAGACTTGCTTACTGCCTTCTCTAAAAGGAGGCTGTGTCCAGATAGCAGACAGCCTGAGGCCCAAGTGAGTTACTCAGTGAGTTCAAGGCCAGGGTGAACTACAGACCTTGACTCAAAAAAACAAAACAAACAAACAAACAGAAAAGCAGTGAGTTCCCCAAATGTTCTCTAGTTGCCACACAAGCCCATTAAGAGAATATCCATCTTTCTATTAAATCATCCTCATGGGACTGGGTGGGGGGAAATTATGCAAATATGTTCATTCTTATGCTGTTAGCTGTACTGTAAATAGTACATTCCTCTGTGTCTGACACAGGAGTCTCCTGGCTTTTGCCAGCATCCAGTAATAACACTAATAGGCAAGCTTTTCATTTGCAAGTGCATAGAATAAAATCAAATTTCAAACTTGTTACTGTACATGGGTCAGACTCATCAAACCACACATCAAACCTGAGTACACTGTACTAAATATAAATTGTAGGGGAAGAGAAAAGGTATAGAAGAAGGAAATAAGCAAAGAGAAAAGAGAAGAAAACGGGTAATACAGTTTCCTGACCTGTGGAGGCAAAGCTGTATTATAGGACAAGCCCATCCAACAAAACAACAAATATCCCTGTGAGAACTAGAGGATGTTCCAACTTCAAAGACTTGATGGTAACCATTATCACACTGTAATTTCAATGTGGCCAAAGAGATGAGTCTCAGAGAAAAGACTGTAGATTACAGTTAATACATCTAGTGGAGACTCCAATTTTAAATGTCCCAGATACAGTATCATCACTAGGACAAATCAACATGGCCCCTAGTAATATGTAAGTTTTCAAAACTTCAAAAACAGATCACAAAAGCTGTTTGTATCTCACAGTCCAGTAATACCTTTACTATCTTGGCTCAGAGCTGTATCAGCGCTCTAACTCTGGTTTCATTATCTGGTCCACAGAGACTCTACGCATCTCAACAGCACACAAGTCCACAATCCTTTTAATAATACTTGTGTATTATTAAAATTTCCTATTTTCTAAACTATTTATTAATGCCCTTTGCCTGTTTTTCTAGAGGATGCTGCCCTTTTACTGTTGATTTGTAATTTCTTATTTAGTCAAATAGGAAGCTCTTGCCAATTTTAAGCACTGTAAATATTTTTCCCTCATTTGCTGAATGAAAACTTTTTATTTTTAAATAATCAAAGTCATTATTTTTAACCTGTACAAGCTTTTCAATCATTTAGAAGTCCTTCCCTGCCCATGGGAAAGGGTTTCCTCAACATTCTGTATTAACTTCATATTTTTTTCTTTTCAGAGGTCTGTAATTCATTCCAAGTCCATCCTGTTTATAATGTCGTTTGTTTTTTGGCTTACAGTGAGACATTCTCCCTAACATATGACTCTCTTTCCAGTGATATATGATGTTATCTTCACTTTTCCCCCCCACCAGGAATCAAACTCACCACCTCACACTTGCCAGGCAGATGTTGTGCTGTTGAGCTATATCCCCAAGTGTTTTATATATATATATATACACACACACACACACACACACACATTTTTTTTTCTTTTTTCCAGTACCTGGGATCGAACTCATGACCGTCTGCTTGCAGGGCAGGTGCTTATGCTGCTGAGCTAAATCCCCAGCCCCTATTTTATATATATACATATATATATTCCCCTCACCTCTAATTTGTTCCTCTGCACTTATACCAGTTCTTACATTTATACATTTATATGAGCTGCTATTACTACAGTTTTGAAATGTTTTTATTTCTGATAAGGCAAGTCAGCCCCCAAAATGAATCTTTGTGGGGTTTTTTTGGTTGGTTGGTTGGTTTTGGTACAAGGAACTGAACTCAGCATCTTTGCCAGACAGGCCCTTATGCCACTGAGCTATATCCCCAGCATAAAACAAATCTTTAAAACTGTAATTCCCAAATTTTACTCACCTACCATAAATTTTAGATTTAGGTTTACTGAGTTTCTCAAAGAAGTCAAAGTGTAATTGGGATGCCATGCAACATTGAAAGTAAAATAGAGAAAACCAGTATGTTTATAATCAGATTAAGGGCACAGAACCTTCTGCCATTTGTTTAGATACCCTTCTAGCTCCTTAGTGTAGTTTTGAAATTTCTCCTTAAAGACCCTGTATATTCTTAGGTTATTTTCTATAGAGGCTTTATAGTTTGTTTGCTATTTTGAATATGGTATCTACTTTTGACTACTTTAAGAGCTGTGTGTTATTTTTTGTAGGTTGGCCTTGAATCTCAACAACTCCAAACTCTTACTAATCCTAACAATTTTTTTTCTCATTAGTACTTGTTGGTAGTACTTGCTGATCACATTCCTCCTGGGAAGTGGTATATGTACTGTTTTTCATTCCCTCTCCCCTACCCCATCCTTCCCATCCGTCCATCTCTTGGTCCCCTTCCTGTTTGCAAAGTCTCACTACTTCCGATTTTAATAATTTAATAAATACTCTCTGAAAATATGATTTGTTTACCTTCCAGCATTTATAACTTACTTTCCTTTCTTATAATTTTAACCAGGACCTTTCTTACTATGTAACCAGTGATGAATAGGGACATCTTTATCTTCTTATCATCTTAAAGTGAACATATCTAAAATTTCTCCACAAATTATAATTATTCCCAGTACATTTTTGTTAATGATTTTTATCTAGCTAGCTTGCCAATAGCATTTATCATAAATAAGTGCTAGATCTTATCAAAGGAGACAATCATAATTTTTCTTTCTTCCATTAATGCAAAATTTCATTAACAGAAATATAATGTTGAACTATGAGATGTCTAGGACAAACTATAGATTATGTTTCTTTTAACATAGCTGTGTGTGTATGTGTGTGTGTGTTTTGGGGTTTTTTGTTTTGTTTTTTTTTTTTTGGTATCAGGGATCAAACTTTCAACCTCCGGCTTACCAGGCAGGCGCTCATGCCACTAAGCTAAACTGTTGGTCCCCACACATAGTTGTATTTGATGAGTTGGTATTATGTGACATTTTTCATCTCCATACTAATAAGTGAAACACACCCACACGTTTTTTTTATCTAGTACTAGAATTAATATATCACTAATCTCATAAAACAGGTTTGGCATTTTTTTTCTTATTTTCCACAACATGTAAAAAAGTAATTTAAGTGTTAAGTTTGATATCTAAGTATATGGATCCAGAGTTTTCAAAAGGGGAAGTCTCTAACAATAGTACTTCAGTTCATAAAATCTTATTTCAAGCTATGTCTTCTGATACCAACTTTCAGAGTTGGTAAGTTTTCTAAGAATTACACTAGGTTTTCAAATTTACTGACATACAGTAATTAAATGCTCTTTTTAAAAGCCTTGTAATTTTTCATTTTATATTTATTTATACTATATCTTTTTTTTCTTCATCGACCTTATCACAGGTCTGCCCAGCTTATTAATGTTCTCAAAGGCCTATCTTTTGGTTTGGCACATTCTTTTGTTGCTGACTTCACGGATTTCTGCTTTTAACTGCTGTTTTTTTAATTCTTCAAGTGAAGTTTGCTTAAGCACCAACGCAAGCTTCCTACAGCATTTTCGTAAGTCGTACTGTCACTTTGTACAAGGTCTAGTTTCACAACATAGCCTTCAACACAAACTACATAATATAAGTGGTATTCTCAAATGGTATGCAAATCTTACCAACCACACCTACACATCATTGTCTGACTAAAGCAATGCGATGAAGGCAAGTAAGGTGGTATGCTGTTCCCATAAAAAATAAAAGGTTTAGTAAGGATATGACTACATATCAGTATCAAGGCAAATATTTTCTGTGCACAGCTAAATGAATAACTACTGGTATAGCTTGATAAAATCAGTAACTAGAAATAAAATCTCCAGTTGCTTCACCACTGGCCATTCAAAATTTAAAGTTAATAACGAGAAAAACCCCTAACCACCACAGCTGGAGGGGCGCAAAAGTACATTTTTTTCCCCAGTTATGGAAGGCTCTGGGACAGTTGCAGATTAAAAAATAAATTTTAACTTTAACTCTTTGTGCCGGAAACTGTTAAGATATATCATAATGAAACTCAACATGCAACAAAATCCTGGATTTGGACGCATATTGAGTTGCTTACTTTTGAGCAGAGATTAGGAAAAGTGATGTTATACAACAGCTTTCAAACCGGTATCACAGCTCCCATTGCACTACCAAGCAAATTATACATTTCTCTGCTAGGATACAAAAGTTAACGTTGAAGGCAAGGAACAGGTGTAGATCATAAGTCAACTTTGAAATTCCTGACTTAAGACTGGGTAAAGCACAGGAACACGAGTTGCCAAATTTCTTTTCTCTCTTTGGCTGCTTAGGCTGAGGGCCTTTCCCTAACGAAACTCAGGCAGTCTTCTTTTCCCCTCACCTTTGAGGGTGAAACTTTAAGGGAGGAAGGAGAAAAAAAAAGTCCTAATGTTGAGAGCGAGCCCGAAGTGATAAGTATCGCGTTTGTAGCAGAACTTGGGGCAGCTCGCGGACCAGGCTGCTCTTCTACGCCGCGTAATACAAGAAGCCAGGGCCGCTCAGGCACCGGCCACTGACACCACACGAAGAGGGAGGGGGCGAGAAGGGGAGGAGAGGAGAGACCCAGGCCAGAAACAAAGGAAAAGGGGCTGCTCCAAGAAGGGGTGGATGCGGCGTCCGGGTGGGGAGGAGAGACCAAGGCTGCCGAGGAAAAGCTGGACTCACAGAACTTGGAGGTGGAGGTGTTGATGTTGATCGTAGAGCTGGGGGTGGGGGCGGGGGTCGCCTTGGCCACGGCGGCGGCCGCGTCGCAGCCCTTCAACATCATAATCACCCCATTGCCGTCCGGCGGTGGCGGTGGCAGTGGCCCCATCGGGAGCCCCTCCTTGGGGCCTTTCCTGTCCACGGAGACCGCGGGCACAGCCAGCAGCTGCCCGCCCGGAGGCTCGCAGGCCGGGATGGGGATCGATGAGGGGGGCGGCGGGGGCTGCCGGAAGCCGTCCACGGCGGCCTCCCAGTTGTTGTGGTTCTGGTCGTCCATCATCGCCTCGTAGATGAGCACCTCCTCCTCTTCCATGCTTTCCTCCATCCTGCTGGCCCCCGGCACCCGCCCGCCTCACAGGCACCTGCCGCCCGTCTCAACCCCGGGCCAGGGTGCACCGCAGCTGGCTCGAGCTCACATCTCCGGGGTCCGAGACGGGCGCTGCGGGGAGGGCAGCGGCGCGCCGGGTCTCACACTTTCCGCCAGACCGAACCTCCTGGAGACCCGGCTGGTTGAGGTAGGTGCTCCGGAGTTCGCGTCCTGGGAGAGGCAGCCGTAAAGCAGCAGCGCTGTTCACGACATTTTACAGCAGCTTCCAACAGAAGGTTGGTCAGGGCGCAGGGGGAGTGGCCAGGGGGTCACGTGGTACGAGGGACGCGTCTGGAGGAAAAAAAAGGGGACGGAAGCTGTGAATCACTCCCACGCGATAGGACTGAGTTTTGCCCAGCCTCGGCCCAGTGCTGAGAGGGGTGGGGCGGCAGGAACGGAGGAACATACATCGGCTCCACCCCCGGGCTAGTTTAAAGGGATAAGGAAGTTTGATGTGCGCTTGCGCAGGCGGGTTACCAAGACGACGACGTGCGTAGTTAGTTTAGAATCTGCTAGCAAATTGGTCCGCTGTCGTTGTAGCCACAACCAGTTGGTAGCGTTTTTCTGTTTGAGGGGTTTCCGGGCTTAGTACCTCCGAGTGCTTTGCAACTCCAGCCTTTGCTTGGGGACGGGTATGAAGCCACAGGAGGCTTCGGAGTCTGATTATAAATGGATCAGAAGGCCTTGGGTGGATTTTTTGCCGGCCCATTCCTCAACCTTGTCACCCAAAATCCAGAATAAAAACCGAATCGGGACAAGTTGGCGATAATGCGGTTGAGGTATTCAGTGGGTCACCCTGCCGCACCCCCTTGCTGGGGATGAATTTGGAGTTTCTACTTGACTATGCTAGTGCACTTACCACGATGCTACTCTTCAGTCTTCCCTATGGTTTCAAAATTGTTTATCTGGTGTACACACTGAGGCCAGAAATCTTTTTTATGCCTGTTTTTTTTAAACTTCGTGCACTATTTCAAAAATCTGACTACAAATTGAATGTGTGTCTCGTGAAGATCAGAAAAATAATTTAATTTTTTTCCTCAAATTTGCATTCTCAAATTATAGTAGCATATGAAAATGTTATAATTATTTGTTGGAGCTCAGCTTAGCTAATGATAAGTTGTCTAACCTTCAATTGCATTTGTTCGTAGGTAATCTTTATTTCTATAGAATATGTAATTAGTGTGCAGTGAAAAATTACCTTTGATGTACTTAAGTAGCCACATTTTCTTGAGCTTCAATATGTATATTTTCCCAATTTGTTCTGTACTATATTTACCATGTTTACCAACCACTTGGAATGATTTAATTTTAGCTAATGCTGCCCTCATATTAATCAGTGACTTTTCTAAATCAGTACACTGTTTAATTCTCTGACCTTGGGACATTTAGGGATACAAAAAAAATTTTTTTTAATAACAGATTTTTTTTCCAGACAACTGATAGCTTTATCACAGACTCATTGATGGTGAGTGTGTCAAGAGGTTGTGACATAATAAAAGATCCAGTACACAGGGAAGGTATGAAAATCATAAATATGTCTCTAATATATTTAAAGCAAAAACTTGAAGTAAAAGATATATCAACATTAGAGGAGGTGATTTTATATATCTTGATAGATTGAAATGGGTTTGGTATGCCCCCCGTAAAAAAAAAAAAAAAGATAGTTCCATGTCCTAATCCCTGGCACCTGTGAATATTTGGAAAAAGAATCTTTGCAGATATAATTAAATCAAAGCTCTTGAAATCCCTGGATTACCCAAGTGGACTATGGATTTAATGACAAGTACCCTTCTAAGAGAAGGGCAGAGGGAGATGCGAGGTCTATAGCAGACAGGGAAGAGAAGGTAGAGGCACTGCGACCACAAAAACAGAAACTGGAGTAATGTAGCAAGTCAAGAAGTAGCTATCCAATCCGGAAGAACCAAAAATAGAATTGTTGAGCACCTCCACAGGGAGTGTGACCATGACAATACCCTGATTTCAGGTTTCTAACTTCCAGAACTTTAAGACAATAAATACTTCTCTGTTGTTTCTTATAATTTATTAATTAGAAGTAGACAGTGGTATGGCTGTAGGAGACTAATACATAGATCAAGGTATGATGATTTAGATCTTGACATGACTCCCAAAACATAGGTGCTAAGAGCATTGGTTGCCAGTTGATGCACTCTTTAGAAAGTGACTGGAGAGTTCTAACTTCACCAGTGGATTAATCCATTGATGAGATCATACTTTGATGGCATTGTTGGGAGTTGATGAAAACAGGCAAGAGACATGACCTTGGGCTCTGCTCCCATCTCTTTCCCTTTCACTGTTTCCTGGCTGCCATGAGGCAAGCAACTCTCCTCCAGTACACCCTTGCGCTGTGATTTTTCTGCTTTTAACTATAGCAATGGAGCCAGCCAACCACGGACTAAAAATCCTACAACCATAAGCCAAAATAAAGCTTTCTTCTTTCAAATTGCTCTTCTCAGGTATATTGTCCCAATGACAAAAAGGTGATCAATACAGAGAGGACAGAAAAACAAAAAAACAAAAGACTCTTTAGTTAAATAACACAAATTTCCACATTTAATTTAGTAGAGATATATAGAATCTTGACTCAAAAACTGCAGAATACACCTTCCTTCCATAAATATGTAAAACATTTACAAAAATTGAACATACTAGATACTAAAGCTAGTCTCTCTAGATGTTTAAGGATTTTGTTGTCATACAACCATATCTGATCACTATTCAGTTAAGAGTCGGTTACTAAAAGGTAATCAGTGAATCCTGATACTTCTGTTCTTTCAACCAATTCATGGGTCAGAAAATCAGAGAACAGGTTAATGTGGCTTTCCTCACAACAGCCTTCCCTGCGTCATCCAGGGTGTACTCTTATCTTTTTTCTCTTTTACTCAGCTCCTTCACTATTCACTTTTACTTTTTCAAATGAACACTGTCGGGGCTGGGGATTTAGCTCAGCGGCATAAGCACCTGCCTTACAAGCAGGCGGTCGTGAGTTCGATCCCTGATACCGGGAAAAAGAAAAAAAAAAGAACACTGTCAATGTCTAAAAAAAAGAAGGAAAATTTTAGAATAAAGAAATTGGTACAATGATAGCCATATAACTTCCACTCATTTTCATCACAGTGAGAACTACACAGTGGTACCTCAGTCCACAAACTCAGTTCTTCCACAATACTGGTTGCAAACTGAACTGGATGAAAACTGAATGAAATTTCCCCCAGAAGGTCAACATGGAACCTAACCATTGAATTTCTTCAGTTCTCATCCAACTCAGTTTGCAGCCAGAATTGTGGAAAGAATCAAATTCATGAACCAAGGTACCACTGTCTATGTAAAATATACCCAAGGGGCCAGGGATATAGCTTGGCGGGATAGCAGCTGCCTGGCAAGCATGAGGTCCTGAATTCAATCCCTGGTACCCTCCCTGCCAAAAATTCTGTAAAATATATCTATAAATTTGTATATGTAAAAAGGCTAATTCAAAACATTAATCACAGTTATTTACAGAAAATAGGATTATTGTTTTAATCTTTGTGTCTTTCAATGTTCTCTATAGTAAGCATGTATTATTTTTATAAGTAGAAAAATGTTCCAAAATTTAAAGATTAAAACAAATAACATTAAGAAAGTATAAATTTGGATATCATAGGTTATAATGTTCGTTTTGGCTTCCAGAAGCAGAAACTTCAAGTTTAAAAATGCTTAAAACTCTGAATATTCACTGGCTAACAGACTGACAAGTTCTAGGAAGGGTGAAGGTGAAGCCTAGTTCAGCCAGGCCCTCCGCCCTTCTGCCATGTTCTTTGTCAGAAAAGTGGCTTTCACAGCCCAGGCCTCATACACACTGACAGCAGTGTGAAGACAAAGAGGCCCCTGAATTCTGGTGACTCTATTGTGAGCAAACTTTTCAGAAGCTCTCAGCAAACAATCTCAGTGTCTCATTCTTGAATCAATGACCTGGCCTTTCATCCTGGGTTCCAGAATCATCTACTGGAAAAAGTATAAATTTACTTCTAGAAATTAAGGCCAACATCTGGACTTTAAAATAGGGTCAGTTTCTCCTTAAGACTTTACCTAAAATGGGAAGAACAAATATTAGGGTCAATTTGAGAGGTTGAAATGAGTGTTGACAATAATGCCCATTACAGGCCCAAATACCTAATGACTATTCATTATATAATCTTATCTAATTTTTCTACTATCTTCCCTTCCTGAATACCTCCCTATTCAATATACTTATGTAAAATGCTGTATGTACTGATTAGAATAAAAAAAGACGCAACTCATGTTTGTTTAAGTACAAAATGCGTATGTGGCCAATGGCCAAATATAAATGGACAAGACTTGGAGAGAGGCAGAGACTGTATCACTAAGAATTAATCCTTGTACAGCTTTAAATACTTTGATATTACCTTTCCCACAATTACATCTACTTGAAATCTTATATCAAGTCTTTTTTCTTTCGTCAACTCCTGTAATATCGCCTGTACTAAATATCAAGTATATTTTTATAAGAGAAAGCAAAGTTTATTATTGTAACCATTACATATTTTCATATATTCTATCAGCCTAACTCTTGCATTGTTAATAGAAGATGAAATTGCTCAGAGATGAACCATAAGAGAAAGGAGAAAAAAATGTAAGAAAAAAAATCCACAAACTATGCATGCTTTTTCTAAATAATGAAGTAAGAACCAATTGAAAGAAGACTATAGTAGACAACATACAGACACACAGATGATTTCTTTTAACTGTCATTTGATAAGTTGACTATTATGTGAGGGAAATAACATGGAAAACTTTAAAATGCAACTTGGTGGAGTTAAACTACATTAGGATAAAGAAGAATGAAAGGTTCTTTAATCCTTAGGCAAATATAATTGTACCAATATAATGTTGACAAAGCAATGTTTGTGAATGTATAATGCAGTTGGAAATCTAAATGCACAGCTATGGGAATGATCTTGATTAGAAAGCAAGAGGATTAGAATCATGTAAATAACTCAAGTCTCAATAGTTGCACACTGAGATTACTGCTTACGATGAAGATGTGTAGCCACTCGGGGGAGTATTTTCTATTTGTATTTCTTTCTGTGTTGGATTTTGTTCTTTCCTTTTATAAAGATCTTAGCATCTGAATTCTAATTTCCCTCCTAGCAGGGGAACAGAGATAATAATGTACAGTCTGTTGTAAACCTGATGAATTTAGGAGCTGAAGAAAATGACTTT